TCATTGGCTGAGGGTGGGCTAACCCTGGAGGTGTCCATGGTTGAGGTGGGGCAGACCCCGGGGGTGTCCGTGGCTGAGGGTGGGCTGACCCTTGAGGTGTCCGTGGCTGAGGTTCCACTGACCACGGAGCTGGCGATGTGATGGTGTGGGAGGCATTGCTGGCCATAAACGACTTCATGGTGACGGTGCTTCGGTGTTTGTGGTCGAGCGTTAGCTGTCGGTGGTAGCTGAGGTGCTGCTGATGTCAGGTGCTGATGGAGAGGCGTGAGTCATTGACGTTCGTGGCACCGGTGGGTGCTTCAGATGCTACCAATCCTGGAGGTGGTCACGGCTAAGGCCACACCGACACGGAACTGGTGATGTGGTGATGGTGTTGCAGCTGAGGGCTTCCTGGCCACAGACATGCTGACGGCGAGGGAGTTGGGGGTTGAGGTGTTGGCTGACAGTGGCTTGTGGTTAGTGGTGTCTGTGGTGGAGGTGTTGGTGTGAGCTGAGGCGCTGATGGGCACTGCTGCTGGTGGCTGACTGGCCGCCATGGCGGGTTCACTGCTGGTGGCTGAGGTGCTCCTGCTACGAAGTTGGTCTTGAGTGTAGACGTCGGAGCTGCCGCAGGAGGCGTGGTGGCGAAGGCGGACACTCCCACATGGCCGACCACGGTTGGAGCCCACTTTCCCTCTCTCTGTTTCTCTCTCTGGGTCTCTCACTGGTCCAATTAAAATAAATGAATGACTATATTAAATAATTCTTTAAACAATAATAATTTTAAAAAAATGTCGGCGCTCCAATGAGACCACCTGCTAGGTTATGGGGTGGGTCTGCTTTCAGCCCGCACCTCCGGAGTGATTCCAAGAGAGACGCTGGCACTCGCCCTGCCCATGGTGCCATCCACGGTGCCCACCACCATGCCTGCCACGGTGCCCTCCACGGCACCTGCCACCATGCCCACCAAGGTGCCCTCCACACCACCTGCCACCATGCCCAAGAAGGTGCCATCCACGGCACCCACCACCATGCCCACCAAGGTGCCCTCCATGGCACCCGCCACCATTCCCGCCACCATGCCCGCCACGGTGCCCACCACTGCTGCCCCCATGGGCCTCTCCTCCACCCCAGGCTCCATGTGCAACCTGTGCCCCAAGGACTGGGTCAACTTCAAACACAAATGCTACTACTTCGGCAAGGGGGCCAAGAAGTGGATCCAGGCCCGGTACGCCTGCGAGGACCTGGGAGGGCGGCTGGTCAGCATCCACAGCCGGGAGGAGCAGGTGGGCCTGGCTCTGCAGCACCATGGGCACGGGGCAGGGGTGGACCTTCTCAACCTCCTGAGGTGGGTGGGAGGGGTCCCGGCACGTGGCCCCGGCCCTTCAGCCCTGTCCTGTACCCTCAGGACTTCCTGACCACACGTGCTAATAAGAAGGGCTCCTGGATTGGCCTTCGGGACGTGTTCGTGGAAGGGGAGTTTCTGTGGATGGATGGGAGCCCCGTGGGCTACAGGTGAGGAGTGGGACTACCACAGGGGAGGCGCTCCCTGGGTGAGTCCCACTGGGGTGGGGCCCTCGGGCCTAACCTCAGAGAGGACGCTAAGGTAGACATGAAAAGTGGGCTGGGGAACCAGCAGTTAGCGTAATGGCTATGTCGCTGGACTGCCACGTAGTCGACCACGGTTCGTGTCCTGGACCCGGTGGCTTAAAACTCACGCCGGGCGCGTGTGCGTGCGTGCCCAAGATCCCGAGAGGAGAATGGAGGAGAAGGGGTTGCGGCATGGCCATCCCCCCTGGGGGGTGATTTCTCGCTTTCTGTCTCTCTGTCTCTGTCTGTCTGGCGAGTGAACACTCCCTATAGCAAAAACCTCTCCAAAAAAAAAAAAGTGGGCTGGACCCCGGAGGATGGGTCAGCTACGACACTGCAGGGCAGCCCACATGGGCAGGTCCCAAGTTCATGTCTGGAGACCTCCTTGAGGCAGCAAGTCCATGTGCCCACGACCCGGGGCTGGCTGAGGGCCGAGGCGGGTCACAGTGTCGAGGCCCTGCTGGAGGCAGGGGGTCCTCTCTCTTGCTCATGAGGAAGTAAACAAACCTTAAAAAAAAGAGAGAAAGAAAGCAAGGCCCAGCCACTGTGGTGCAGTGGGAATGCAAGTGACATCCCAGGCAGGAAGCCACGTGGCCGGCAGTGGGTTCAGATCCCGGATTGGCCTGAGGACACGCTGGGCATGGACAGAGTCCTGAGTGGCTGAGAAAAAGATCACGGCTTCGTGAGACCCTGTAGAAAGCACTTCTCTCTCACACGTGCATGCATATGTGCTATCTTGAAGAATATCTTAAGACAGGCCGGCAGGTAGCGTGGTGCTTAAGGGCACTGGACTCCCACATGGCCAACCGTGGTTCAAGTCCCAGACCTGGCAACTTGCTTTTTCACTTTCCATCTCTCTTGCTCTGTCCCTCTGGTCAAATTAAAAATAAGCAAATAGGGACCAGCAGTTGGCATAATGGCTATGTCTCTGGACTCCCATGTAGCTGACCACGGTTCAAGTCCTGGACCCAGTGGCTTAAACCCATGCCGGGCGCATGTGCATGCGTGCCCAAGATCCCGAGAGGAGAATGGAGGAGAAGGGATTGTGGCATGGCCATCCCCCCTGGGGGGTGATTTCTCACTTTCTGTCTCTGTCTGGTGAACGCACGCGCCCTATAGCAAAAATCCCTCCAAAAAAAAAATTTAAGAGTTAAAAAATTTTAAACATGCTTTTATTTTTTATTTTTTAATTGTCAGAGGAGAGAGAGAAGGAAAGGAGAAAGCACCCCCCAAGGGGGCACGGTCACACCGCAATCCCTTCTCCGGCCTTCCTGCCTTTCAGGATTTGGGGCACACACACACCGGTGCCTGGAGTGATTCTCAAACTGCCAGGACCGAGATTCAAACCACATGGTTGGCCATGTGGGATCCAGCTGCCTTGACCAACATGCCACAGGCTGGCTTTTTTTTTTTTTAATTTAAGGATTTTTGGCATATGGCACATGTATGTGCTCACCACAGAGAGACAGAGACGGGGGCAGGGGGTAAAGTGAGAAACCGCCCCCCAGGGGGATGGCCACACCACAATCCCTTCTCCTCTCAGGGTCCTGGGCACATACACACTCGTGCCTAGCGTTTTCCAAGCTGCCAGGCCCGGGCCCTCAACTGCAGTCCGGCCATCTGGGGTCCAGGTCCAGCGCCTTGACCGCCATGGCACCACCCAATTCCTTAAAGTGAAAAAGTGAGGGTACAGGGAGGGGGAGGTCAGGGGCCCCGGCGGGGGCTCAGACAGGCTTTTCCGGGGGAAGAGGGGCAGGCGCTCAGGTAGGGGGCTCCCGCACAGGTGGGGACTGAGTCCTGGGCTGCAGGAAGGGGGCTCCTGCCCCACCCCGTTCTGACCCGAGGCCTTCCCCTCCAGCAACTGGTACCCAGGGGAGCCCAACAACCACGACCGGGGCGAGGACTGCGTGCTCATGAAGGAATCCGGGGAGTGGAACGACGCATTCTGCCGCGACTACCTGGACACCTGGGTGTGCGACAGGCTGGCCTCGTGCGAGCCGCCCACCACCCTGCAGGACGGGTTCTGAGACGTGCAGAGCCCCCGCCTCGCCCTCTGCACCCTTCCCCCCACGTTCTTGTAACTGCCGGAGGGAGAGCATCTCCCACTGGGGTGTGGCCACACCCCAATTCCTTCCCCATTTTTCCAACCTATCTGGATTTGGGGCACCAGGACGTTCCCCAGGTCACCAGGGATCTGAACCACTGTTGGTCACGTGGGGCCTGGTCCAGCTGATCCACCAATGCGGTAAGACCCACCCCTGCTCACGTCTCCTGCTCTGACCCAAGCTGCCTCCTGACCAAGCCGGGCACCCCTGGTCTACCCGCCATGTCGCACCCCTCGTCAGACAGAGCTCCCCCAACAGCCCCCTAAAGCCCTACGCATAACCAGTGAGGGGGACCCAGCCGAAGGCCCTGCGGTTCTTTTTCTGGACAGACTTGTTCAGGCCCTGGTGCTGGGGCTGGGGCGGATTTCCTCAAGTTCCTCCCCCTCCAACAACCGCAAAATATCAGGAAGGACATTTCCGGGAGAGGCGCAATCAGGGACCAGGGCTGGGGGTCCCCGGGGGGGAGGGAAAGGCTCCCTGAGGTGTGAGGTTCACTTTGACTTGGAAAATACATTCTTGGAAAATACTTGCATTTGCCTGTCTTGTATCTGCAAATTAGCATCTTTTTTTTCTGGAAGTTTTTGCTAGAGGGTGTGTGCGCTCACCAGAAAGACAGAGACAGAGAGACAGAAAGGGAGAAATCACACACACACACCAAGGGGAGAATGGACACGCCGCAATCTCTTCTCCTCCATTCTCCTCTCGGGATCTTGGGCACGCACGCACACCCAGCATAAGTTTAAACCACTGGGTCTGGGACTTGAACTGTAGTTGACTACATGGGAGTCCAACGACATAGCCATTACGCCAACTGCTAGTCCAAACCTGGAGAGAGAAAGTGAGAAGTCACACCGCCCAGGGGAGACGGCCATGCCGCAATCCCTTCTCCTCAGGATTCAGGGAACATGCACGCCCACGTGCCCGGTGTGAGTTTCAAGCCACCAGGTCTGGGACGCAATGTGGGAGTCCAGCACTATACCCACTACGCCAACTGCTGGCCCCCCTAAAGAATTGTTTTTATTTAACTTTATAATTTATTTAAATTTGATCAGAGAGACAGAGTGAGTGTGAGAAAATGAGAAAGCAAGTCACCAGGTCCGGGACTCGAACTGTGGTCGGCCATGTGAGAGTCCAGCGTCCTTAACCAACTTTAACATGTTAATTGTCCCCAGGAGGAGAGTGGAGGGATGTGGTATGGCCATCCCCGGGGAGGTGGGGGGATTTCTCATGGTCTCTCTCTGGCGAGTGTACTCGCCCTGTGGCAAATAACTTAAAATATGGGGAGGGGGAGGTATTTTAATCATCCAGGCGTCCAGGCGATGCTGGATCCTCCCCCTGAGAGGCAGCTCCCCGGGGAACCTTGAAAATCACACCAGGCACATGTTTGTGTGTGCCCAAGTCCCGAGAGGAGAATGGATTGTGGCCGGGCCATCCCCACTGGGGGGTGATTTCTCGCTTTCCCAAACCTGCAGGTCTGTGAGGCTCTGGGGGGTGGGTGGGGTCAGCTGGGTTTAACCAGTGAGTCACGTGATAGCCATCCCCCAAGGAAACACACATCCTCAGAACCACCCCGGGACCTGGCCAAAATGCAGACTCAGCAGTTGGGGTGGGGAGCCGATTGTACCCTTCTGACGGCTCCCAGGTCAGGCTGACCCAAGTCTGAGCCCGTACCCTGAGTAGCCAAGGTCTACAGCAGGGGACCAACAGCCGCCCCCCAACCCACTTCACAGATATCATCCCTCCCCCCTTCCTGCACACGTCGGTGGCCGCTTTCCCGCTAGGTCGCCAAAGCAGCAGGACAAGACCGTGGAGCATGGACTATTTACTGTCTGGTTCTCTGTACAAAGTTTGCCTACTCCTGCTCAAGGCGAGTGGATCTTGGCCCGATCCCTCCACCCGGAACTCCCGTTCCCCACCTCTCCAGTCTGCAGATCCCAGATAGCCATCAGCTTCAGGCCTCCTCCTCCGACCTCAGGAGAGCACCCCCTAGAATCCAACTCGGGCCATGCCGGTCCCCACTCTCCACTTACTATAAATGCGTTAGGGCCTTGGTGTCCCTCACCAAGCTGGGGCAGGGACCTGGGTCAAGGTGGGTGTGGAGCACGCACGCACACACACCACGCTCGGGAAGGGGGCTCTCTGCAGACTTCCTCCCCTGCGAGGTCAGCGGCCCTCCAGGGCGCGGTCTCGGGCGATGACGGCCTCCTCGAACTTGATCATGAGGGTGGTGCCCTTGTGCCAGTGCGCCGTGACCTTGGCCGGGAAGCCGCTGTGCGTGAGCACCGCCTCCACGATGCCCGCCGTGAAGCTGGCGCAGTTGAGCGTGCTGTTCTCCTTGGGCACGGAGATGTAGGTGTTGATGAGCGGCTCGCGCTCGATGATGTAGAAGGTGCGCGCGTCGTCGTTGGCCTGCTCCAGCTTGTCGGCCTCCTTGCCGAACAGCGCCTTCCACACCGCGCCCTTGACGAACAGCAGCGCGCCCCGCACCTTGGTCTCG